TTTCCCTACCTGCTCTATCCCATGCATAATCTTATAAACCTTGATCATGTCACCCCTCAGTCTTCGTTCTTCTTCTTCCTCCTCCTCCTGTTTGATCCTGAGCACTGTTTAGGAACAGAGAGGTGCAAGTCTTGGAATCCTGATGTTATGTCGGTATGACATTTTTATCTCTCTTAAGCCCTGGATGTATTTCCTCTTCTTTGCTTTTCATTGAAAGGAGGAGACCCCTGTCAGTTTCCATGAAGAAAATCTGCTCCAGTCAACAGTGGATCTGTTTTTCGCCGGGACAGAAACAACGTCCACAACTTTACGCTGGGGTTTGCTTTACATGGCCATTTATCCAGAAGTTCAAGGTAGAATTATCATTTTGGGGTTTCTGAATTCCATGATGCAATTGGTATGTCTTACGTTATGATATCTGAAGTGCCCGACTGGCGCTTGTATTCTGGAGCATTTATCCTACATGTGCATTAAAACCACAGTTTATAAAGAAGAGGATTTATTCATAAAGCAAGCGTGTTTTGGTTTAGGGAGGGGACTGTTAGTAATCACATTTTATTCCTGTATCACATGTAGTAATTCCTCATAACCAAGACTGTCTTCTATACCTTTCTGAGGTTCTATGTTTTATTTGTCATGCAGACAGGTGATTTTCACCTGCTTTAGCATGCACAGCGGCATAATTCAGGCTAAGAAAAAGTGGTTTGGGGGTATGTTCGCTTTAGGGAATCTGTTTAGGGAATTATTATAAACACCTTTTGAGGTGCAGATCCCTAAAGCGAACATCAAAGGAAAAAGGATGAGATGGTTAGACAGTGTCATAGATGCAACGAACATGAAATTGAGAGTCCCTTGGACTGCAAGGAGATCAAATCAGTCAATCCTAAAAGAAATCAACCCTGACTGTTCCCTGGAAGGCCAGATAATGAAACTGAAGCTCAAAGACTTTGGCCACCCAATGAGAAGGGAGCACTCACTGGAGAAGAAGACCCCCATGCTGGGAAAGACTGAAGGTCAAAGGAGATGGGGACGGCAAAGGATGAGATGGTTAGACAGTGTCACAGATGCAACGAACATGAAATTGAGCAAACTTCAGAGGACAGCGGAAGACAGGAGGGCCTGGCGGGAGCTGGTCCATGGGGTCGCGAAGAGTCGTGACTGAACAACAACAATTCCCTAACTAAAAGGTGCCAACTCTCTCACAAACTGGAGGAGACACTTCAAAGGCACCATTTGCTATGGGATAATAAAACCTTTGTGCACGTGATGCCATGGGTCAGGGGATCATGGGATGTAGATCTGTTGTCTGTGTATACAAACCCTACACCTGGTTTTTGCATCTCAGTCTGCATCTATGACACTGTCTAACCATCTCATCCTTTGCCGTCCCCGTCTTCTTTGACCTTCAATCTTTCCCAGCATCAGGGTCTTCTCCAGTGAGTGCTCCCTTCTCATTGGGTGGCCAAAGTCTTTGAGCTTCAGTTTCATTATCTGGCCTTCCAGGGAACAGTCAGGGTTGATTTCTTTTAGGATTGACTGATTTGATCTCCTTGCAGTCCGAGGGACTCTCAAGAGTCTTCTCCAGCACCGTAGTTCAAAAGAATCTATTCTTCGGCGCTCGGCCTTCCTTATAGTCCAACTCTCGCAGCCATACATGACTACTGGGAATACCATTGCTTTGACCATGTGGACTTTTGTTGGCAGGGTGATGTCTCTACTTTTTATCATGCTGTTGAGGTTCGCCATCACTTTCCTCCCAAGGAGCAGGCTTCTTTTAATTTCATGGCTGCTGTCACAGTCTGCGGTGATCTGGGATCCTTAAAAGCAAAGAAATCTCTTCTTTCCAATAGAGCAAGATCCATTGATACTCTGAGTAATTTAAATACTTTTGGCTATTTTACAACATATGGCGGCCCCTTGAGACTAGCGAGTAGTGAAGGTGAAGCTGGGCAAGCCAGAGAAGCCAGTCACTGAGGTCAGCCACGGCAGAATGGGTAGAAAATGGCTGCCTTTGCTTGGCGAGCGTCCGTTGAAAGAACCCTCCACGCTGCATGTGGCTGTGTGATTCCTCCTTAATAGCAAGGGACGAATCTTCTGATCCCTCCCAGAGACCCCAGAGGACAGGAGCGCTGTCTCCCCTTTCCCCCTCTACACAGGCTCGTAGCCAGGATTTTGTGACTCGTGGAGGAAATTCTTTTCTGGTGGGGCGGAAGTTCTCAGTGCAAGGGGGGGGGAGCCATTTCGCCAACAGAAAGCTGTGACCAGGATCGATCTCTGAACTGCAAGCCGTGGACCGCTTTAGATGACAGTTCTCAGCTGCTGCAAGTGCATCACTTCTGCCAGCCTAAGCAACGATTCTGAGAACAAGCCGGCAGGTGGGGGTGATGACTTCTACAGTCAAGAGAACCAACTCTTAGGCAGGAAAGCTCTCTTAAAGGAGACCAGTTTCTTGGCACAGAGTTAGAAGGGGTCCAAGAGGTCACCTACTCAAACCCCCTTGCTCAGCACAGGAATTAGTCCACCGCAGCACCCCACTCTGCCTAAAGGAGTGCACACCTTTAAAAAATGTTTTCGAATGATCGAAAAAAGCATTTACAGGCAAAATTCTGGTGGGGCTGTGCCTTTAAGAAGGGCCTGAGCCCTCCCCCCCAAACCCCGCTGTAGTCATGGGCCTGCCTCTACATTCTGTTGCCTGGGAAACACAAGCAAAAACCATCCAAAACAAGGATGAGAACAGCAGCCAGGCCCCGAACTTCTTCAGAAATCAAGACATTTTGGGAATCACTATAACAGAATTCTCACAATTTTTAAGAAGAAGAGGAGGAGGAGGAGGCGGAGATTGGATTTATACCCCGCCCTTCACTACCCAAAGGAGTCTCAGAGCGGCTGACAAACTCCTCTCCCTTCCCCTCCCCACAACAGACACCCTGTGAGGTACAAGAAGAAGAGAAGAGATTGGATTTATCCCCCACCCTTCACTACCCGAAGGAGTCTCAGAGCGGCTTACAATCTCCTTTCCCTTCCCCTCCCCACAACAGACACCCTGTGAGGTAGGTGGGGCTGAGAGAGCTCTGACAGAAACTGCTCTTTTTTGAAGAACAGCTCTTATCAGAACTACGGCTTGCCCATCATTCAGACCTCCCCAAACAAACCATAAACAGCAAATTTAGGATACATTTGTTGGTTAGGGAATCCCAATGCAGTCTCCAGTGTATACTGCTTGTATAGTGTTTGAAAATGGCCCATTCATCATTCTCGATATTGTACTATGTTTGCTGGAAGTAAACGTAAGTGCCTGAGAGTTCAGGGACTGGTTCTCCATCTGCTGACAGCCAGTGTTGTTTTTCTCTCTAGCAAAAGTGCAAGGTGAAATCGACTCTGTGATCGGCCAGACCCGCCAGCCCGCTATGGACGACCGGGAACACATGCCCTATACCAATGCGGTTGTTCACGAAATTCAGAGAAAAGGCAACATTATTCCTTTGAATGCACCACGGATGACGACTCGTGACACCACACTGGCTGGATTTCATTTGCCAAAAGTAAATAAAATATGTTTCTTTCCTATTTCCTTTAAAAAAAGAGAGGAATCTTTTAAGTGAAAGGTCTGAGCATACAGTTTGGTGTAGTGGTTCGGTGGGAGAACAGGGTTTGATTCCCTACTCCTCCACTTGCAGCTGCTGGATGACCTTGGGCAAGCCATAGTTCTGGCACAGCTGTTCTTGAAAAAGAGCAGTTTCTGTCAAGAGCACTCCCAGCCCTGCCTACCTCACAGGGGTATCTGTTGTGGGGAGGAGAAGGGAAAGGAGTTTGTGAGCTGCTCTGAGACTCCCTTGGGTACTGAAGGACGGGGTATAAATCCAATCTCCTCCTCCTCCTCCTCCTCTTCTTCTTTCTTCTTCTTCTTTCTTCTTCTGTTGTACCATATACTTTCAATGGCCGTCAGCAGAGAAGTGTTATTTAGTATTTAGTGTGGACCTGCCCCTCCAAAGGAAGTTTAGAAAACTTATTGAGGGCCAAAAGTTAAAAACATAAGTAAGTATAGATAAAAGAGTGTTTATTACAGAGACGTATAAAAACCTTGCAAGGGCCCAAATAAAGCCTCACAAAGTGTTCTAAGTGACGAATGCACAAAAAAGGACGGTGTATGACCTGACGCGTTTCGGCTCACAAGAGCCTTCTTCAGAGGTCAAATAGTACAAAGTATAAAATACACCAAGCAACAAAGTCCCTGTAACACATGTAAGGCAATAAACAATTAATAAAATAGGACCAAAAATGGAATGTTCCATATACTCCCTCTAAGCTGTGGAGTCTTGTGAGCAAACATTCTGCTTTGTGAGCGACTGGCGTTAAAGTTGTGAGCGAGCGATTTGGCTGCTGCATAGCTTTGTTTGCTCTGGAGCCCTCCTTCCTGAGCTAAGGCAAAAATGTGTGAGCCGGAGGCTAACGAACTGTGAGCTAGCTCACACTAACCTGGCTTAGAGGGAACGCTGGTTCCAATATGGACTTAAATGACATAACAAAAGATTTCTATTAGGGGGCCACAAATCTATCTGGCCTTGTGTCAGAAGTAGTTGCATACACTGGAGATAATATCAGTACCAATATGAACCTTCCAGTTTAGATCCTAAAAGTGCAAGTAAAAATGCCTTATCAGGGACAATCTGAAGAAGGCTAAACTTCCTTTGGAGGTTTATGCTTGGTTGGTTTAGTTCCCCCCCAGGGGTCAGTTCCTCCCGGAGCAGAACTCCGGCATTAAAGAGCCCAAGGGGCGGGCACATGCAACAAGCCCCACCCCCTGCTCCCAGCAGCCCTCAGTCCGAGCAAGAAGCAGTCAGGTACGTTGCAGAGCTCCCCCCGGCTCCCCGGTCCAAAACAGTCCAGTGGCACCTTTAAGACCAAGTTTTATTCAGGTACAAGCTCTCCCTCCTCTGCGAGATCTGCACATCCCCCCCCCCAATAGCTAGCCATCCAAAACAGTCCAGTGGAGCCTGAGTGGTGGGTGTTGCCTTCTGACTCACTTCCGGTGATGTCAGGGGGTGTGGCCTATGCAAATAAGTTATGCTAATGAGTGATGGTAATGAGCTCCTGCACCTCTTTTTCTACGAAATGACCTCTGCCGGTGGCTAATATCCGTGGGAGACTTTGCCTTTCCTTGCAGAGCGTTGCTTGCATGGGTCACCTGCAGCTACTGTTCCTGCAAGCATTTACCGGCATATCGTAGTCTGGAGACAGCTGGCTCTGATCTGTCCGATGCTGGTGGGTTCCGGGAGTCTGACCTTTTGGTTCCTTCCGGTTCCCTGACAAAAGGAGAACTGAGACTGGGTCTCAATTTCAGCTGGTCTGAAACCTCCCAGTGGCTTTGATATCCAGTACCGGCCATAGGAGCTGCGGTGGCTCAAGTGGTTAAGACGCTGAACTGCAGGCTGTGGAAGGTCAGTAGTTCAGCAGTTCGAGACCCGAGTGTGCCGCATGATGGAGTGAGCTCCCGTCTCTAGTTCCAGCTCCTGCCAACCTAGCAGTTTGAAAGCAAGAAATTGCAAGTAGATAAATAGGTACCGCTTCGGTGGGAAGGTAACAGCAGTTCCATGCACCTTGGTGTTTAGTCATGCCGGCCATATGACCACGGAAACGTCTTCGGACAGCGCTGGCTCTTCGGCTTTGAAACGGAGATGAGCACCACAACCCTAGAGTCGGACTTGACTGGCTTTCGAGCAAGGGAACCTTTACCTTTACCGGCCATTTCAAAAACGTTTTCCCAACCCTCCTCACTTTGAACGTACAAATATGGAGAGTGGGAGACAGAACTATTGCAAATAAGTAATACATAAATGCTGAATCTTAATAGTTCCACATTTCGAGAATGTTTGGAAATGGGAACCCACGTTTCGGGCACACACAATTCCATGGATATCTTGATAAACAGAAGGAGGGCAGGAAGGGTCACCTCAGTGCTTAGTTCTTGTGGCCCTTTCTTACACGGCCAGGGAAATGCCGATTGCCACTTTGGGGTCAGGAAGCCATTTTTCTCCAGGCCAGTTTGGCTGGAGATCCTGGAGGATTTTTTTGTGTGGTCATCTTCTGGGTGTGGAACAACGGTCCCTGGGGGTGTGGTGGGGGAGGTTTTTGTGAATTTCCTGCCTTGTGCAGGGGGTTGGACTAGATGACCCTTGTGTAGCTCTATGATTCTGTGAGAGAATCTGAATTCAGCCGCAATACAGCCTTGTTCAATATGCCAGGGCTAAATAATAATGTAGACATCAAAGATCATTACACTAAGTGCGCCGTTGATGTTTTAATCCATTTTCTGCTTTGCACTGCTTCCTCTTTTTCAGGGAACTATTTTCATCCCCTCCTTGACATCGGTGCTGTTCGATAAGGAGGAGTGGGAAACTCCCGATGCCTTTAATCCTGGACATTTCTTGGAAAATGGTCAGTTCAAGAAGAGAGAAGCCTTCCTGCCCTTCTCTGCAGGTAACGGTTGATCAAATGCTTACAAGTATTCAGAGGTCATTTCGGGGGGGGGAGATCGCGGGGGATCGCAGTTCCCCCGGGTGAGGTGCAGGGGGGCGGGGCACATGACGAAGCCCCGCCCCCTGCTTCCGGCCGCCCCGCTTCCGGCCCTCATTCAGCTAGGAGGAGGCAGGAGAAGAGGGGGTGTAAATTGCTTCCTCCCCGCCTCTCCCCACCCCTGCCTGCCTGGGGCCAGGGAGGGCCTTGGCGAGGCTTCCTCGCACTCCCGCTGGCCTTGCAGGTCCACCGCCGGGCCCCTGATGTCAGGGTGTGTGGCATATGCTAATGAGTTATGCTAATGAGTTCCCCTAGCTCTTTTTCTACGAAATGACCCCTGCAAGTATTACCTGGGACACTTCGCAGAGTTCCAGGTCCAGCCCTTGCTTCAGATATGCTTGCTGGGTAATTGATTACAGAACTGTTGTAGCTTTTCCTGTTTTCCAGTAATTACAGTCAGGGTTGCCCAGAGCCACCATTTGTCAGGTCCTGAATGGAACTCACTCCAACAACACTCACTTTGCAGTGATTTGTTTTATTGGGAGGTAAAGAGATTTCAAGCATAGATGACTCTGTGTCAAAACTGGCTCCCTTGGCGCTAGTTCCCCTGTTATACATAGTACAAACGATTTTATTACTTTTTATTTATTTATTTATTTATTATTTTAGATTTATATCCCACCTCCCCCCCCCAGTGTCCAGTCCAATTTTTTGTTGTTGTTCAGTCGCACAGTCGAGTCCGACTCTTCCATCCTTTGCCGTCCCCGTCTTCTTTGACCTTCAATCTTTCCAAGCATCAGGGTCTTCTCCAGTGAGTGCTCCCTTCTCATTTGGTGGCCAAAGTATTTGAGCTTCAGTTTCATTATCTGGCCTTCCAGGGAACAGTCAGGGTTGATTTCTTTTAGGATTGACTGATTTGATCTTTTTGCAGTCCAAGGGACTCTCAAGAGTCTTCTCCAGCACCATAGTTCAAAAGAATCTATTCTTCGGCGCTCGGCCTTCCTTATAGTCCAACTCTCGCAGCCATACATGACTACTGGGAATACCATTGCTTGGACCATGCGTATTTTTGTTGGCAGGGTGATGTCTCTACTTTTTATCATGCTGTTTAGGTTCGCCATCGCTTTCCTCCCAAGGAGCAGGCGTCTTTTAATTTCATGGCTGCAGTCACAGTCTGTGGTGATCTGGGATCCCAGGAACGTGAAGTCTGTCACTACTTCCACAGCTTCCCCTTCTATTTGCCAAGGAGTGATGGGGCCGGATGCCATGATCTTAGTTTTTTTGATGTTGAGCTTCAAGCCCACTTTTGCGCTCTCCTCCTTTACCCTAATCAAGAGGCTCTTTAGGTCCTCTTCACTTTCTGCCATTAGAGTGGTATCGTCTGCATATCTGAGGTTGTTGATCTTTTCCCCAGCAATCTTAATTCCTGCTTGTGATTCATCCAGGCCAGCATTTCGCATGATGTACTCTGCATATATATTAAATAAGCAAGGTGACAATATACATCCTTGTTGTACTCCTTTTCCTATGCTAAACCAATCAGTTGTTCCATATCCGGTTCTAACTGTTGCTTCTTGACCCTTAAACAGGTTTCTCAAGAGAGATGTGAGGTGGTCTGGTACTCCCATCTCTTTAAGGACCTGCCATAGTTTGTTGTGATCCACACAGTCAAAGGCTTTAGCATAGTCAATGAAGCAGAAGTAGATGTTTTTCTGGTACTCTCTTGCTTTTTCCATAATCCAGCGAATGTTGGCAATTTGATCTCTAGTTCCTCTACCTCTTCGAAACCCAGCTTGTACTTCTGGCAGTTCTCTATCCATATACTGTTGAAGCCTAGCTTGTAGGATCTTGAGCATGACCTTGCTAGAATCTACAGTGTCTCCAGCCCTCCTCCAGCACCTGCAAGCCTACAGTTACATTATCTAGTAGCATCTGGTACTCAAGGTCAAGCACGCATACTTCCCACCACGGGGAGGCCCCGCATGGATGCAGTTACAAGCTAGCACAACTCTTAGCAAAGCAGTTTCATGTACTGGCGTAGTGGTTAAGTGCAGGGACTCTACTCTGGGTGAACCGGATTTGATTCCCCACTCCTCCACTTGCACCTGCTGGATGACCTTGGGCAAGCCATAGTTCTGTCAGAGCTGTTCCTGAAAAAGAGCAGTTTCTCTCAGAGCTCTCTCAGTTCCACCTACCTCACAGGGTGTCTGTTGTGGGGAGGGGAAGGGAAAGGAGTTTGTAATCCACTCTTGAGCCTCCTTTGGATAGTGAAGGGTGGGGTATAAATCCATTCTCCTCCTCCTCCTCCTCCTCCTCTTCTTCTTCTTCCTCCCCCCTAATTCTCAGCAGAAAGAGACAGAGTAATGAGCATTGTTATAGATACCAAGTACAGACAGTGAGCAAAATACATGACAAACGAGGCCCGAGTTTGACACCATTGGCCCCTGAACCAGGATTTCACCTGTGCCTCAATATGGCCCTGATACACGTGTATAGTTTTATGTGTCTAGTGTTATGTATGTGTACCAAAGTAGGACACATCTGATGTAGAGGGCTGTAGTTCACACAATTTCGTATCACAATAAATTTTTACTAAGTATATCAGTAAGAACACTATTTTGGTTTACCCTTGTACCTTTATAGAGCAAAAAAGCTGGGGCAGATTGATTATGTACTGAAGCTGGATGCGACGTACTGGGGTTGCCAGGATTGATTGTGCTGACATGTTTTCTAAAAAGATTACATCATTTGTCATATAGCGTGAAGCTTCATTGCCTACAGCAGCAAAACAGCATTTACAAAGGGATATTAGATGTCCCACCGAATACAACGACCAACTGCCTGAACAGTGTTTAAAATGTAATTAAATCTAAGGTAAAGGTAAAGGTTTCCTTGCTCGAAAGCCAGTCGAATCCGACTCTGGGGTTGCGGTGCTCATCTCTGTTTCAAAGCCGAAGAGCCAGCGCTGTCTGAAGACGTTTCCGTGGTCATGTGGCCGGCATGACTAAACACCAAGGCACACGGAACGCTGTTACCTTCCCACCGAAGTGGTACCTATTTATCTACTTGCAATTTCTTGCTTTCGAACTGCTAGGTTGGCAGGAGCTGGAACTAGAGACGGGAGCTCACCCCGTCATGTGGCAGCCCGTGTCTCGAACTGCTGAATTACCGACCTTCCACAGCCAGCAGTTCAGCGTCTTAACCACTTGAGCCACCGCAGCTCCTTAATTAAATCTAATGGAGGTCTATATGTGTAATCACACAGAGAGATTAATATTCCATTACCATGTGAGTAAAAGGGGGGGTTGGATTGATACCCCGCCCTTCACTACCCAAAGGAGTCTCAGAGCGGCTCACAATCCCCTTTCCCTTCCCCTCCCCACAACAGACACCCTGTGAGGTAGGTGGAACTGAGAGAGCTCTGAGAGAAACTGCTCTTTTTCAGGAACAGCTCTGACAGAACTATGGCTTGCCCAAGGTCATCCAGCAGGTGCAAGTGGAGGAGTGGGGAATCAAATCCGGTTCACCCAGAGTAGAGTCCATACTGAGAGAGCTCTGAGAGAAACTGCGCCTGAGAGAACAGCTCTGAAAGAACTTGTGACCAGTATTCCCTCTAAGGTGAGTTAGTGTGAGCTAGCTCACAGTTTTTTAGCCTCCAGCTCACACATTTCTGTCTTAGCTCAGGAAGGATGGCTCCAGAGCAAACTAATTTATGCAGTAGCCAAATCGCTCGCTCACAACTTTCATGCTGGTAGCTCACAAAGGAGAATTTTTGCTCCCAACACTCCACAGCTTAGAGGGAGCATTGCTTGTGACTGACCCAAGGTCACCCAGCTGGCTGCATGTGGAGGAGTGGGGAATCGAACCCGGTTCTCCCAGATTAGAGTCCGCGCTCTTAACCACTACACCGAACTGGCTCTCATGGGCAAATATTTACACACTCACACCCCCGTGCTTCTGTTCATAACATTAACAAGGCTTTGCTGGTAGTCTGCCATTAATTCTTGCCAACAAGGGATGAGAAGGAGTTGAGACCAATGCTCCCTCTAAGCTGTGGAGTCTTGTGAGCAAAAATACTACTTTGTAAGCTACTCGCATTAGAGTTGTGAGCAAGCAATTTGGCTACTGCATAAATTAGCTTTCTCTGGAGCCCTCCTTCCTGAGCTAAGACAAAAATGTGTGAGCCGGAGGCTAAAAAACTGTGAGCTAGCTCACACTAACTCAGCTTAGAGGGAACACTGGTTGAGACCAGAACTGCCATGTAAAGGGTGGGATTGGAAGGGGGGGGAGAGAAATAAAGACATATCATGAAATAAAGAGAGCAAAATGGAGAAAAGTGTGGAAAAGAGGAAGAGAGATTAGAAAAGAGGAAAGGTTTTATTTATTTATTTATTAGATTTATATCCCGCCCTCCCCAAATGGGGTCAGGGCGGCTAACTACTGCCATAACAAACAATTAAAACAGCATCAAAACAATCAATAAATAAATTGCGGTGCTCTTGATGTTAAATCTCATTACTCCAAGATGGAGTAATATTTATTTTTGTATTATTTGTTTAATGGAATCTTATGTGAGTAGGGTTGCCAAGTCGACTTACCTTCAAAGCGGGTGGATTCCTGGCTCCGCCGAGAGTTTCCCTGCGTGCGCACTTTGCACGCGCGCCCTGCACGACAACGTCACCAGAAGTGACGTCATTGCGCCGCCCACATTGGGGGCGAGGCACCGTGACTCGAGGGAAAACCATAGAGTGTAACCCGCGATTCACAGAGTGTCTCCCACACACAACGTGGCCAGTGTGATGATGTCACCTCCGGGTGACACCATCACGCTGGGGACGCCCTCAGGCAGGGGGTGGAGTTCCCCATGGGGCCTGATCCGCCGACGGCGGGTTAACGGGTCTCCCAGGGGGGAATTTACCCACCTCCAGCGGGGGCTTGGCAAGCCTATATGTGAGCCGCCCTGAGCCTGCTTTGGCGGGGAGCGCGGGGTATAAATTAAATGAACAAATTAATCAAATAAATTAAAATAAAATAAGTTTTCTTTTGTCGTCTACCAGGAAAGCGCGTCTGTCTTGGAGAGCAGCTGGCCAGGACGGAGCTCTTCCTTTTCTTCACGGCCCTCCTCCAGAAGTTCACTTTCCGGGCTCCGAAGGGCGTGACCTTAAGCCTCGACTTCAAAGCGGGAATGACTCTGTCCCCCCACCCTTACCGCATCTGCGCACTCCCTCGTTGACAGAAGCAATTTCTGGTACGGCTCTCCATAGAATTGATTTTTACTGACAGTGTTCCCTGAAATTAAGGTGGGTCGCCGTGCTGACCTGAAACGACAGGAAAAAACAACAACCACCATGAGTCCAGCGGGCACCTTTAAGACCGAAAAAGTCTAATTCTGGGTATAAGTGTTTTTGTGCACGCGTACTTCTTCTGACACATCGAAGCAGACTTCTTCAAGCATTACACATAGCTAGCAGGCCCATAGCTTCAGTGGGGCATCTCGGGGTCGGCCCCCCCGACTTACAGCCCGGGCCTCACGATTTCCCATCCAGCCGGTTTGTTTTATTTCATTTTTCACATGCACCACAGCTGCGCTGCCCTGAGCCATCGCCCTGCCCTACTTGCCCAAGGCGCCCTTGCCTCTCTCTCTCTCTCTCTTGGCACTTTTAAGAAGAAGAGAGAAGAAGAGATTGGATTTATACCCCGCCCTTCACTCGGAGTCTCAGAGCGGCTTACAAACTCCTTTCCCTTCCCCTCCCCACAACAGACACCCTGTGAGGTGGGTGGGGCTGAGAGAGCTCTGACAGAAACTGCTCTTTTTTCAAGAACAGCTCTTATCAGAACTACGACTTGCCCAAGGTCATCCAGCCAGTGCAAGTGGAGGAGTGGGGAATCAAACCCAGTTCTCCCAGATTAGAGTCTGCGCACTTAACCACGACACCAAACTGGGTATGAACATAAGAGAAGCCAATGTTGGATCAGGCCAATGGCCCATCCAGTCAAACACTCTGTCACACAGTGGCCAGAAATACCAGGGGCCATCAGGAGGTCCAGCAGTGAGGCCAGGACACTAGAAGCCCTCCCACTGTTGCCCCCCCTCCGAGCACCAACAATACAGAGCATCACTTGCCCCAGACCAAGAGTTCCTATCTATACCTTGTGGCTACTAGCCACTGATGGACCTCTGTTCCATATGTTGATCCAATTCCCTCTTGAAGCCGTCCATGCTTGTAGCCGCCATCACCTCCTGTGGCAGTGAATTCCGTGTGTTAATCAAACTTTGGGTGAAGAAGGACTTCGTTTTATGTGTTCTAACTTGACTGCTCAGGAGTTTCATGGAGTGCCCACGAGTTCTTGTATTGTGAGAAAGGGAGAAGAAGAAGAAGAGAAGAGATTGGATTTCTGAAGTCTCAGAGCGACTTACAAACTCCGTTCCCCTCCCCTCCCCACAACAGACACCCTGTGAGGTAGGCGGGGCTGAGAGAGCTCTTTCAAGAATTGCCCTTTCAAGGACAGCTCTTGTCAGAACTGTGGCTTGCCCAAGGTCACCCCAGCAGCTGCATGTGGAGGAGTGGGGAATCAAACCCGGCTCTCCCAGATTAGAGTCCACTCACTTAACCACTACACCAAACTGGCTGTCCACCAAACTGGGTCTCTTGTAGCTATACAAATTAGCATACAGTTTGCAACTCTTGTACCGGTCCCCCAGCGCCTGGTGCCTCACCGTCCAGACCCGAGCGCTGGATGCCACTTTCGATGGCAACCTAGAAAAGCTGGCTTTCTTCCTGCTGCAGGTGAGCAAGTTCCTACAGGATCAGGGACCCATGCTCGCTTCGGAGGAGCACCGGGTGGATTACATCAGCTCGCGTCTGAGAGAACAAGTGGGCAATTGCTCCATCTCACAAACAGATGTGAGAACTAAGTTTGTGGCCAGTGGCACCTTTAAGACCAACAAAGTATAATTCTGGGTATAAGCGAGAACTGAGTGACTTTGCACGTATAGTGAGATAAGAACCCGATATCTCCGTTAAGCCCTTTGGGTTCCATTGTCCTGAGTGTTGTAATAACTTGTTTGCACATATAGTGAGATAAGAACCCGATATCTCCATTAAGCCCTTTGGGTTCCATTGTCTTGAGTGTTGTAATAACTTGTAATTCAGCAATCTCCCATTCCAGTCTGTTTCTGAAATTCCTTTGCTATAGAACAGCTACTTTGAGCCCCCCCCCCCCAGTGCCCTGGGAGGTTGAAATGTTGTCCACAATAACAGAACACCACTAGTGGTCACTTATACCGCTCAACTCAAAGCAGTTCAACACCTTCTGAATATGATCTAATAGCAAAGATTATGGAAAGAGTGGAAATCGATAAATTGGCCTCAATGCTAAAAGGGCAAATGGAAGAAGACTTCGTTGAACTATGGACTCCCATTTTATAATTGGTTAAGAGAGAAATATAAAGGTATGAACTTTCTAATATTATAACATTAAGAAGACTTTATGAACTTTTAGACCTTGCAGTTTATCTGTGTGTAACGTGAAATGACAAGCAGAGGAAAGTTACATGCAGAAAACCATCACTTTTGTTCTTTCCCCTGCCCCTTCCCCATCCTTGTGTATTTTAAAAAACTTAATAAAAATTTATTCATTAAAAAAAAACCCAGTTCAATACATCATCAGCGACTTATCACTTCTACTGGATAGTTACAGTTCTCTTTCACAAGTACATAAGAACATAAGCGAAGCCAATGTTGGATCAGGCCAATGACCCATCCAGTCCAACACTCTGTCACGCAGTGGCCAAAAAGACCAGGTGCCATCAGGAGGTCCAGCAGTGGGGCCAGGACACCAGAAGCCCCCCCCCCACCGTTGCCCCCCCTCCAAACACCAAGAAGACAGAGCATCACTTGCCCCGGAGTCCCTATCTATACCTTGTGGCTCATAGCCACTGATGGACCTCTGCTCCATATGTTTATCCAATTCCCTCTTGAAGCCATCCATGCTTGTAGCTGCCACCACCTCCTGTGGCAGTGAATTCCACATGTTAATCACTCTTTGGGTGAAGAAGGACTTCGTTTTATCTGTTCTAACCTGACTGCTCAGCAATTTCATGGAGTGCCCACGAGTTCTTGTATGGTGAGAAAGGGAGAAAAGGACTTCTTTCTCGACCTGCACCATCCCATGCATAATCTTATAAACCTCGATCATGCCACCCCTCAGCCATCGTTTCTCCAAACTAAAGAGCCCCAAGCATTTTAACCTCTCTTCATAGGGTAGGTAATTCCTACAAAGTACTTATTTTGTATAGCCCCCTTAAGGACAGGAAAACTATACACTCAAAGAGAACTCAGCCTTCTACTTAGAAAGGGGATGCAGGCAGATTGTCAGTCATCTACAAGTGTGGATTGCCCGGCGTTGGGGACATGTGCCCCTTCACCTATGCTGGTGGCTGCCATGGACGATTCTCTAGAGAAGAGATCATGTCTGTCCATCCCTCTATGAACAATGGTTTTTATTATTCCTGTTCAACTCTTACTGTATACTTTATTTACTGTAACATAGGGCTATCTTGGGGCAGGAACGCACAGGAACGGAGTTCCGGCTGGCTTCCGAGCCCGCCCCTCCCCTCCCCGCCCCTTTCTCGCCAAAAGCCCTGCTGTTGTGGTATATGAGAGTATAGATTTTGCGTCAAAAATTGCTTCTCTCACAATTCCGAATTTTGCCACTACATGCCTCTGCTGTGCTTCCCCACTAATAGGTCACTGCAATGCCTTGCTTCTCAATGCTCGCTGACTGAGACCTCTGATTTGAGAAAAGACTGAGCTTCGGGTCCCGTTCAGCTGTGGGACGTTTGCCACATACGTTTCCCCTCATTTTGAGGCTTGGTTTCAGTGTCCTAAGTGTTGGAAATGTATGTGTTTATGAGGTCTGACAATCCAGGCATTATAGGGTTAACTTGTTTACCTTATATTGCTATTGTTTAGACTGACCTGGAAGGGATACCTGGCAGTAAGCCAATGGTGAATTAGGCCGGGAAAAGTAGCTTCTATTGTGATACAGATTGGTTGTTTGTTTCAGGTGACTTCCTTTCTAGGGGTCGAGAAGAAGGACAGATTCTCCATTATCTCTGTGTTAGTGTTGACTGTAGACAGCTTAGAAAATGTAGCTGTTAAGAGTTCTGTTTATTTGTAGTAATCCCGTGTACCTTTTACCCTTAGAAATAAAGGTTTTTAAAAGCAAAGAAATCTCTTATTTCCAATAGAGCAAGATCCATTGATAGTCTGAGTATTAAACACTTTTGACTATTTTACAACACTAAGCAGGTAGACGAAGCAGGGGTGTGGCCTAATATGCTAATGAGCTTGTGCTGTTGGGTGTGGCCTATTATGCTAATGAGTCCCTGCTGGGCTTTTTCTACCCAAAAAGCCCTGCAGTGTAACATATACAATACGATGATCTAAAGTAGAGCAGCACATCAGTAAAACATGGCCACCCTCTGAAAATATCCAACATGATGTAACTGATTTATAAGAATATTTTTACCGCCTCAGGCTTGAGCCATTTTGGATCCCCCCGCCCCGGGCCAGCCAAATCTCTCTGGCCTTATTGCGGTTAAAGTTTACGGTATTTATTGACTATTATTACTTCGTTATTTATTACAGTCTTGTTACCCTTCAAGGCGGCCATTTTCCCCTAGGGGAGCTGATCTGTGTCAGGTGGAGATTAATTGTAAAAGCGGGAGATCCCCGGGCCCCACCTGGAGGCTGGCAACCCTACCAGGTCCCCTCTGTCCACTGGCGGGGGGGATGGGGCAAGTCATGGATGCAGAATCTCCGGCGTAAAAGACATGCGCCTCCCTCCCTCACGGCCCCCGTCCAGCAGCTCCCATCTGAGGGACATCTTGCCTCTTCACACTTTAGGAGTACCAACCAGCGCCACCCGGTGGATCTTTAGTGGAGTATTAGAGGAGCAACGGTTGGAAATGTCTGCATGTGCTTTAGAACAGAATGACACCAGAGGAAGGAATTGTAGCGGCAGCAGGGGTCATTTCCAGTGGGAGTGCACAGGAGCGGAGCCCCGGCAGTAAAGAGCCCAGGGGCGGGCACATGCAACAAGCCCCGCCCCCTGCTCCCAGCAGCCCTCAGTCAGGCCAGGAGGAGCAAGAAGCAGACAGGTAAGTTGCAGAGCCCCCCCCGGCCCGCCTTCAGGTACGAGCTCTCCCTCCTCTGTGAGGAAAGTTCTGCACGTTCCCCCACCCACCCAATAGCTAGCAATCCAAAACAGTCCAGTGGAGCCTGAGCGGTGGGTGTTGCCTTCTGACACACTTACGGTGATCTCAGGGTGTGTGTCATATGCAAATAAGTTATGCTAATGTTATGCTAATGAGCTCCTGCACCTCTTTTTCTACGAAATGACCCCTGAGCGGCAGAGAACCACATTCGTTTAGCGTGGTGAGGGACCGCAGTGACACTGGTGTGGCCACCAGAGGGCCATAAAACAATGCAGCCAGTTGGATTTAACTGCAGTGCCATGACGAATGCCAATGCAGACAGCTTTCTTGGAGAACGGGTGCCACACCGGCAGGAAAGACAAATGCAGATTTGAACCTAAGACCTGGCTATTGAAAAGGCACACAGATCTCTGGGTCAGAT